TACTCCTGCAGGGTGGCCGCCCAGCGGGCGATCTTCCCTTTCTGCGCCTGGAACATCCACTCCAGGCTCTTGTGGTCCGTGTAGACGGTCGTCCGACGTCCCCGAATGTAGACGTCGAACTTCCGCAACGCGGCCACGATCGCATAGGCCTCCTTTTCCCTAGTAGGCCACCTCACCTCCACCTCGCTCAGCGTCTTCGACATGTACTCGATGGGGGTCATCTTGCCGTGCGAATCGCACGACAGGATGCCCGCCACCGCGTAGTCGCTGGCGTCCGTTTCCACGACTAGCTGCGCGCCCGAGAAGTCGTTGCACAGGGCCGCGCCGACCAGGCTGGCCTTGACCAACTCGAAGGCGTGCTGCTGCTCCTCGCCCCACACATAGGGCACCTGGCCCCGCATCAACCTGGTCAGCGGCTGGGTGACTCCGGCATAGTTGGGCACAAAGCTTCGGTAGTACCCGACCATGCCCAACAACTGCCGGAGCCCCCGGACGTCCGTAGGCGCCTTCAGCTGCCTGATCGCCTCGACTTTCTTCGGCTGGGGCGCTATGCGCCCTTCCTCGATCACGTGACCGAGGTACTCGATCTGTTTGGGGAGGAAGGTGCACTTGGACAGCCGGAGCTTGAGCCCGGCGGCCTGTAACCGCCTGAGCACCTCCCCCAGCAGCCGTAGTACCTCGTCCAGCGTCGGGGCATGTACCAGGATGTCGTCGAGGTAGACTAACACCCCGCTCCAGTACATGTCCCCGAACAGCTGCTCCACCATCCTCTGGAAGGTGGCCGGGGCGTTGACCAGCCCAAAGGGCATGACCACGAACTCGAAAAGCCCCGTCGGGGTGCGGAACGCGGTCTTAGGCACGTCCCGTTCCCGCATGGCCACCTGCCAGTAACCCGCCCGCAGATCGAGGGCCACGAACCAGCGCGAGCCTCTCACCGCGCGGAGCAGGTCGTCGATCCTCGGGATGGGGAACTCGTCCCGCACCGTGACGGCGTTGAGTGGGCGGTAGTCAATGCAGAACCGCCACTCGCCCGTCTTCTTCTTGACGAGGACGATCCCGGAGGCGTACGGGCTCCGGCTCGGGCGGATCACCCCCTTCTCCAACATGGCGGTGACCTCCGCCTCGATGATGGCCTTCTGGGCGTCATTGTACCGCCGCCCGCGGCACGCGACCGGCCTGGGGTCGGTCACCTCGATGCCGTGTTCCACCGCGGTGGTCCGGCCAGGTCCTCCCCGCGCCACACCTCTTCGTGCTCCAGGAGCAGCGCCTCCAGCCGGCGCCGCCCGTCCGTCCCGCCCCCGGCGTTCCCGAGGGCCTCCTTTAGCGCCTCACTTCCTCCTGCGGCGGCGACCCCCCCGCTGGGGGATTTGCCGGCCCGCTGGGTCAGCCGCAACGGCTGGCCGTCTAACCGGAGCCGCCCCCCGCCGACATCGAGCTCCGCTCGATGCTCCCGGAGGTACGGCATCCCTAAGGTAATACCGCCGATGCCCGGCAGGACCAGTCCAACTACCTCGTGCTCCCGCCCGTCCGCCAACCTCATCATCGTCTTTCCCCACGTCCCACACGGCGCGCTCCGTCCGTCGGCCATGGTGAGTCTGGTGGGTGCCCCGGGGACCTCCTGCGGGCCTAACTGCTGGCCGAGCAGGTTCACCTCCGCCCCAGTATCGATGAGTGCGAGCGTCTCCAGCTGCCCGCAGGTCGCTGGCAGAAAGTACGAGGCCGAGACGGTCCCTAAGGTCGTGCTCCGGGCACCGGCCCTCCCTGAAAAGGGTGCGGGCGCCGCCCGCGGGGCGGGCGGGGCCGCCTCCCGCTGGCATGGCGCCCGGCAGCCGGTCCCTGAGCCTCCGCAGCCGCTCGATCTCCTTGGTCACTTCCTCCTTGTCCCGGAGGTCCTTCATGCCCAGGGCCACGCCGCCTGTTACGGCCCCCTACACCCGTTACC